AAAGGAGCGTGGTTTGTCCAAATTGAGCATACCATCAATCCCTTTCATCATGGTCACAACTCGAATGGGCAGACATCTGATCGATGCCTCTAGCGCCAGACGCTGCAGCCGTACATTCTGTTGGTCGACGATGTTAATAACGATGTTAATTTCTTAAAATAATGATAAAATTTAGAGATTTAGAGATTTGCGTGTCGCAATGTCTCCGTTCGTAGGATACGTAGAAGAAAAATAAAAGCATTTCATTATATTATTACAATACGAATAGTAGCTATCGATTAAGCTTTATATAGAACTTCATTAATTCAGCCGTTATTGAGAACCATGTCTCCAGATCTGCCGCAAGTCGCCGCCTTGCATAAAAGAGCATCGCTCAAAATCGCCCGATGTTGCCCCGGCGTCGTCCAAAGTCGCCTGGAGTCGCCAGGCATCTCTCTTAAATCGCCCGGCATCACCCAGAGTTGTCCAGAGTCACCAGGAGTCGGCCGGCATTGTCCGAAGTCGCTCGATGTAGTTGTCGTCTGTGATCGTTGTAGTCGCTCGACGTCGTCATTGTTGTCATTGTCATTGTATCGTCGTCTGTTGTCTCTCTCTCTCACTCACTCACTTATTTACTCTGTCTCTGTTTATCTCATGTACATTGATAATTATTACATATGTATGTGCATTAATGTTCATTTATATTGTTAATTTTTATGTAATATTGTTTGAAAGAAGACATTGTGAAAGGCAGCTTAATGGACAAAACGCTTCACATGTATGTGTCTCACGTACGACTGGAAAAAATCTAAAATAATCCCTTTTCGGGACTCGACTTCCAAATCTTGATATTAGGTGCACACAGTTTATTCCGATTGATCTCAATCGAAAGATACTGATGACATTATACTATAATAAAAGTGTTTTCAGATTTTTCATTGTGGTTTTAGTTTTCTGAATAATTTTAATCTAAAGTTTATCAAAACTCCAGATAAAACTGTTGGTAGCATCGTGAATTTGATAAAGGCACAAACATATATAGTACCGGTAAAAATTAGATCACCTTTTGATTTTTTAAACATAATTTTTTTAAACGGTACAGATTTCTATCAAATTGTAATATGTTTTAATAATAGATATAGTTTACTGAAAATAATAACTTTTCATCAAATAATAAAAACAACTTGTGAAAAATTAATTTTATTTAAAATCTCTAAAATATATCAAATTTCATAATAAATTTTTAATTAACGAAAATAAATGTCTTCAAACGAACAAAAAATTCATAATTTAGATTGTACTCTAATATTTTGTAGCAAAACTCTTGGCATCGATTACAGCTTGCCAGCGTCTGGGCATGGAATCGATAAGTGCGTCAATTGTCGACTGAGAGATCTTCTTCCACTCTTCCTCCACTGGGCGAATTTTTCGGCCATATTTATAACTCGCTTACTAAATGTCTCTGGAGTTCATCCCACAACGGTTCGATGATATTTAGGTCGAGCGATTGGCTTGACCACTCTAGAAGAGTTACTCGATGCTGCCGAAACCACTCCCGCACTTTAGCCGTGCGATGCTTTGGATCATTGTCTTGCTGATATATAAAATCGCAACCAAGTACGCTTTGCGTACGGAAGCATCACATTCTCGAGGATGTCTATGTATACTTTTTGATTCATTGTGCCGTTGATCCTATGAAAGGGACCCTTTCCCTTTGCAGAGAAAGCACCTCACACCATGATTGAACCATCTCCGTGTTTCATTGTAGGAAATTGGTACTTGGAGTCGTGGTGCTTTTAGAACGACAAATTCGTGTTATTCCGTCAATACCAAATAACAAAAACTTACTTTTGTCGCTCCAGACGACAGAGGACCACTGTTGAGGTGTCCAATTAAAATGAGTTTTCGCCCATTCCACTCGCACCTTCCGGTTCTTGGCGGAAATAAATGGCTTCGTCATTCATGTAGTCCTGCGACCTGCAGACGATCACCAGAAATTAATATTTCTTTGGCAATATCTGATGCCGTGAAACGTGGATTGCTGCGGAACATACGGAGGATGTTGCGATCGATGACAGAAGAAGTACAACGCAGTCGCCCGGTTTTCTTCTTCTTGACATAACCTCCCTGAGCCTTCCAACGCTTCAGCAATTTGGTTACCGCCGATTTATAAATGCCAAACTGTTGTGCAAGCTCTTCGTGTGTTCGTCCTTGTTTGCGGCCTTCTATGATAGCATTCTGCTGTCGTTTGTCTATATCTCGAGCACCACAAGTTTTTGCCATAATGTGAAACACTAAATTTACTGCCAAAATTAGGTTAAGACCGTAAGAACAATAGCGACATGAAAAACAAAGAAAGCACAAAAGTGCGATTTTGCCAAAATCAATAAAAAATTCAAAAATCATGGCATAACATTGTCAAATTTCATTACACTTCATGTACAAAGTGCATCTACCATCAAGTATCTACTGTAAAATTTTGAGTGTATTGGATACTCTTTGACGAAAGTTAGACTCAAAAACCAAAAGATGATATAATTTTTGCCGGTACTGTACGTAATGACATTCTCATGTCAAACGGTTAAGCAGCTCGTTTTGTTTTTGATTTTTATGCACTGGTCGCGACACTACCGCATTACTTGACTTTTCGATATTTTGATAAAAATTTAGAGGTTTTTTTTGCATGAAATGGAAGCTTTTGAGTCACCATAGCACAATTTCATCAAAGTCTAATCTTTATTTGCAATTTTTAATATTTTTCCATCAGTTTAGCTTGAAATTAACATTTGCAAATTAATTTCAAGCTAAATTAATGGGAAAATAAAAATTGCAATTAAAGATCAGATTTTGAAATTGAGCTACTTTTAATTTTCAACATGTTTTCATCAATTTAAAACCGTTTGCAAATAATTCAACATATCAAAAAATACAAGAAAACATGTATAAGAAAAGATCTTGTTTAGATCAAAATTCGGTAATTTTACCTTCCTTTAATTTCCATTTTTAGATATTAGATTTTCATTGATTTGTTCAAAAGTTACCAATTTTTGAACATATCACTAGCATATTTGCATTTGTTTTTATATATTTGCAAAAATAAAATATTTAAGTTGACTTTTGCACTTTCATGCACAACCAGACATGAATATTAGTTTTAACTGATTTCAACCACTACAAACATATGAAATTACTGCAGACAAAAATAGAGAAACTAATAGAGAGAATTTTATCTTGAATTAATTGGAACATTTAACGAACCCGTTCAGAGAACGATAAGATCGACCAATTATATACACGACCAAAATGTGAGCGAACCAAAAAATGTTTTAATTTAATAATTGATAATTAGAGATAATATACTAAAGAATATTTAAAATTTTATTGTAAATATACTGAAGATGACTTGATAGAATCGAACGTTTATGTGTATAAAGAATATATATATAAATGTCATAACGAATATTATAAACATTAATTTGGAACGATTGTTTTTCCACATCAAAATCCAGTGTAGGCTTTCATGTTCTTCGTACAAAAAAATTAAAATATTTAAACAAATGCTGGAGCAGAAATTGAACTTCGTGCGGATCTAATCATGAGATAAAAAAATTGTATCTTATCTAGTCGCTAGATAGTATTCTTCTAGCTAGCTACTATGCTAGAAATGTAACACTCACTTCTCTCAGTAGCTGTACAAAAAAATTAATTAACAGCTAGACACAAAATGTAACACAGTCACAACGTGAAAATTTATAGCTGTCATAACTATACATAATTATTCTATATCCTTATTATTCCATTGAAAAAAAATAGAAAATAGAAAAAAAAATAGAATGACACTTGTATTGACTTGTGTCTAAAATAGAAGGTGTCTATATTGTATCAAATATATCGTAATAATATTGATATTATTAATAATATTAATATTAATTCTTAATGCTATAACAAGTAATTATACTGTGTACCATGTACTGAGAATTGTTAAACATTTTATTTACTTTTATTTTGGAGCCTAATTTTAAAGATTCACGTTCAAAACATAGTTTTGTCATTTTATAATATGGGTAAGAAATCTCATAACATTAAGGCTTTTTGTTCTATGTTTCTATTTACTTATGAGAAATAAAATTCCGTCACGTCCTTCTATCGGCGATGTTAATATTATATATTATATTAATATGTTATATATTATGTTAATATATTATATTAATATATTTTGTTAAAATGTGTTTGATTTAGTGTAGATGCGAAACTAAAAATTTGCCGACAATATATTGATTTGATAAATTTTTTTACGAATTGTATCACAGATACATTGACGGTATCGATATTTATCGATTGATTATTTTGATGCTAACCAGTACATTGTTTTTAACAATTTCAGCATAGATGCGGTATTGGAAATCTACTGACAGTATACTGGTTTAGTATAAATGCTGAACATATTTCTTTTGTCAATTTCAGTATGGATATGATATTAGTAATTTATCAGCGATATTATGTTTATATAATTTTAATGTTATTTTAATGTTGACACCTGATATAGTATCTTAGTTTTGTACAGACATTATTCTGAAAATCTAGTGATAATATATCGGTATCAACACTACTATTCAATAGAGATGTTCCAACCTTCAAAAGATCGATCTTTCCAAACGACAAGAGCGATTTTTTGTAAACAATCGCTTCTTTTTTTAACAAAGACTATATTTTTTTATAAAGAGTGATTTTTTGCAAAAATTTATTTTTAGCAAATTGATCCAGAGTTCGCCGATTCAATAACAATTCACCCATTAGTCGATAATATTTTTTAATGCTGGTCAGAGCCAGAACTAAAATATCGAACTCGTTTTTTGATACATAATCAGTATTTTGCCAGTATTCAATATTAATATATGAAATTCCCACGTGTGCTACCAATAATTCCATTCTACCATTGTAATCAGTCACATCGTACAATCAATTCATTTAAATACAACTAAATCCTCACTATAATAAATAAATTTTTATTTTTATTTCAGGAAGGGATGAACTATCTCAACCAGGTTCAATAAACGGTTACGGAAATAATTCAGGGGGAAGTGGCGGCGGAGGTGGCGGAGGTGGCGGTAGCAGCAGTGGTGGCAGCGGTGGCGGAGGCAACGGGGTTGGAAGTGGTGAAGGAGCTGATGCAAAGAAAAGAAAAGGTCCCACACCTCGACAACAAGAAGAATTGTGCCTTGTATGTGGCGATCGTGCGTCTGGTTATCATTACAACGCCCTTACATGCGAAGGCTGCAAGGGTTTTTTCAGACGAAGCATCACTAGGAACGCTGTATATCAGTGCAAATACGGCAATGGCTGCGAGATCGACATGTATATGCGCCGCAAGTGCCAGGAATGCAGACTAAAGAAGTGTTTAACGGTTGGCATGAGGCCGGAATGTGTTGTGCCCGAGTATCAATGTGCGGTAAAAAGGAAAGAGAAAAAAGCGCAAAAGGTAGATATCATATCGCATTATCCTATATATTTTTTCTGAGAATTATTTTTAAATTTGAAATATTTTTCTTCAGCAAATATTTGATGCAAAACGTTCTAATACTATGAATTTTAATATAACATATAAAATACTTTCTATAAGAAAGTATTATCCACAAAATATTTATTTTTTGAACTTATCTTAATTCTTTTATATAATAATTTTATTTAATAATACAATAAATCGGTTGATAAATAAAGTACATATACAATTAAAAAAAAGTTATAATTTGCAATTGTATATTTTTTAATATTTATTTTATTACTTATAATATTTATACTTCTATATTATTTAAATGAAATAGTAAATACATTTAAAAAAAATAACTATATGTTTTCTTTATGTCTTGATTAATTAAATTTACTATCTCTCTCTCTCTCTCTCTCTCTCTCTCTCTCTCTCTCTCTCTCTCTCTCTCTAATGATTTATATTATTTTATAAAGATATTTTATAAAGAAAACGATCAAAAAATGAATTTGAGATATTTCATACTTTTTATATGTATAAAAACGTCGGAATAACTATGAAATATCTTATAAAATGTTGATATTTTTTGTGATATTTTTATTCTATTGTAAAATGTCATGAAAAATCAAATTATGTAAAAAATATATATCTTGGCGTTTTTTATTAATTGAATCGTTTAAATGCATTGAATAACTAAGAAATAGTTAATTAGAATTATTTAGAATTATTTAAATATTTTTGCGAGAAGAAAAGTATCTCTTAAATTGTTGACTTCTTATTATCTTAACTCTTTAGTACTCGCGAGATCAAATCCAGGTCCTAGATGCATGAATAAATGAATGTTTCTCCATTATGTTTTTGTTTGCGACACTAGCGCTTTTACTATTCATCCCTCCAGTTTATTCTTGTATCTATAGCGAAAGTAGCCCCGATAAAGCTAAAAAATTTTGGCAATAAATAATAAATTTTGTATTTTTTTCATCATTTTCCTACACGAGCACTTATGTAACTTTCTGTGATTTAATTCAGCATATTGTTTAATATTTTATTGTATATTGGTGTTATTTTTATGAAATAATGTTTTCAATAGTAACGAAATATTAATTTCTAAAGATGAGCGGGTAAAATCGATCCATAAGACAACTTGAAAATATTTTTCAGAGTTCTTTACGAAACTTCTTAAAGATGTTTTTAAAGAACTCTTAAATATTCCTTAAAGTTATGCGTCGATTTTAAACATTTTGCTTGCATTGTAACTAAAAAAAGGATTTATTAATTACAAAAAAATAAAAAATTACAAAATAATAGAGAACTTTTCGACTCAATTTAGTCCGCTGTACCTGCTCACGAAAAACCTGCGTTGTCGAGAAAGTTATTAGACATTCAATATAAAATAAATTCAGTACATTTTTACATGTATTAATAATATTACGTTTGCGAGAGATATTTCTTTGGTTTGAGCGGGCATTAAGAAAATAATTATGAGCATTTCTTGACGACAAGCTAGATTGATCGTGTTTTGACAGTCTGACAAATTGGAGTTTGAATCAGTTGTTGACACGGGCGTGTCTTTTTTAAGACTTTTCCTCTCGAACAAGAAGCTAAAGTAGAGATATGAAAATATCAAATTTAATTTTTTAATTACTTACGATAAAATTACGGCAAAATAGTAATTTGTAATAATAATTTTAGCTTTATTTAATGTCTTTATAGTTTTATGTATAAATAGGCTGTATTTTCTCTACCCATGTATAAAACAATATTCTTCTAATATTCCTAATAGGAATCTGATGTAATAACAAAGCTATTGACTAAATTTAAATATATAATTTAATCGTAACAAACGTGTCCGTATGACACATAGGTGACTTATACTTATGTATGGTTCGCGCTATGTCAATGGTGTTGATCGCGATGTCATAAACGGATGTATATCACTAATTGGCTAATTAAAAATAATATCTCATTGGTTAAGTAGTAAAAAATTACTAGAAACAGACTGATGTGAGTGGTTTGTGCAATTGAATTGTGTGCAAGTGCATTCCCTGATTTGACATTCCTGCCTTAAACGTTGTCAGTTGTCTAATTATTATATCAATATGTAGTATCAAAATGAAAATTTAAATTAAACAAAGTGTTTTTAACTTAATGACTAAATACTCTTATATCAAATTTCTATTTTTCTAATTTTTTAAAATTACCAGCAATTACCTCAAAAAATTACCGAATAATTTACTGTAATTTATCGGGTAAGTTATTATCAAATTGGATCATTTTTATCTCTAAACTGAAGTGATGGTCCTTTGCTTCAATGATTCGTTCGCGCGATCAACTCGAATCGTGAGAAGGATTCGCGTAACGGTGCCGCTCTGTCACGCGTCGGAGTCGGGTTTCAACTTATAGCCGAGTTCTCCGCGAAATTTAAACGCGTTCATCACGCACGTTATCTCTAGAATTAAAAGTGACTCCATTTCTAAAAAAAACTTACTTGGGCATTTATTATGATCTGAGCTCCCATAGTTTCCCTGGCAGCTGCACAAGCTCCTCGTTTCGCTATTACAACCATGATGAAAGAAGACAAGGTGTAACAATTTCAAGGACGCGCAATAGTCAACCAATAGAATTGCTAGTTATCTTGCAAAAAGCAACATGGCTCCTTCCTGTCATTTTGTCATAATATATTATAATACGTATACATAATGTATGAAGAAAAGGAAGAAAGGACTATGCCCAGTTTTATAGGGGAATTTGAGTCCCGCAAGAAACTTTGATACATGCCTAAAATTTTAAGGTATCAAAAGAGAATCAAAAATTCCATAAGCCCAACTTTATAGGAGAGGTTTCCTGAGTGCTAGAACCAAAATTCACTATTAAGACCATGTAGTCTTAAGACCACTTTTATCCAATTTCTCTGCGTCCAGGGCACTTCCCCGTGATGACGATGGTAACGGATTGTATCAAAGACATTGAAGTAATATCTAAATTGTATTAGTACAGTTCATTAATACAGTTGACAGTTATATGGTATATCTGGGATATGCCCAACTTTGACGAAGACATCTATATGTCAGCAAGAACAGTTAATGATGTTTTTTTACTTTTAGAGAGTTCCGATGAGGAAGCTAAAGCGAGATAAGGTCCATATATTGACCACATTTCAATTAAGCAATTAAAATCTTTTGTTTCATACTTTGACTCTCTTCCCTTTTCATTGATTAATATATATCACTTATAACTATTCATTTGGGGTCCAAAAAAGGTTAAAATTGTCTTCATCAAGATTGGACATATTCCAGATATTAGATGATTCGAGAAATCGAATAAAATCAGTCCTACATGTTACACAATATAATATATAATATGATCATAATAGCTTTGAACAGCTGTAGCACTCATTTTACAAAGTTGTGCATATGGAACTTTTTAATCCTTTTTTTATATTCTATCCTAGCTAGTCTCAATGCTTCAGCCGGGTCCCAAATTGGGCATTCCTTTGTGCAGAATTAGTGACTTATTATACAAATAAGAAAAATATCAACCGCAAAAATAAACTATTGGATCAGTGCAAAAGTTCATGCCCAATTTATTATTCAAACAGCTGTAATTTTGTTAAAAATATACAAAATTTAAATTTAAAAAAAGGTTTTAAAGCTTGAAATCTCTACTTTCGAATGGTATTACTATATTTTTTCGAGTTTATGTGAGTTTTGTAATTTTTACATATGGAAAACTATGAGCTGAAAAAATGAAAAATTTTCGATTCTCTATCGTAAAAGCTTGAAGTTTTCCCCCTACAAAATCATTTAAAAATGTTCTTACGATTTTTTATTACTGAGTTGTTGCAAATTAAATAAAATTAATATTTTGACTTTGATTGCTCATAACTCTATCAAAACCATTATAATTAAAAAAATAGATTCTTAAATTTTCTCAGATAGAGTAAGGTTTAGATTTTTTATTTTACTTTTAACAAAAATACCAACGGTTTGAAGTTTGAATAATAAATCGAACACGAACTTTTGCACTGATCCATATATTTATCAGAAAAATATATTTATAGATTATATAAAAAATATATAATATATATTAATCAATGTAGGTAATTGTTTATTATCATTATTTTATTATATTACACATTTTTATTAATTTATAAGGCTTTTTAATAATAATTTAATGTCACTTAAACTTGTATCATTGATTTGTATCATTGATTAATCTGAATATATGTCGTGCCACATTTTGACTAACATTTTGATTGGCTGATAATCATAGTGGAAATAATAAAATGTACGCAGTTATTTTTTACTGGCCAATAGAGCATGATTCAACTTCGTCATCTTGAATAATTTCTAACGGAGGATTGATCTTCGAATTGTGTAGGACGAAAATGATGAGAACAGACACGAGTTACAAAATCCAATAAAAAATTATTTAATTTCTTTATATTTCATTTTTTATATTTTATTTTTTACTTTTATAAATTAGCATATATATCAGATTTAGGATTAACTTTTTTTAAATTAAACTTGACGTTTAAACTGACAATTGCGTTGCTATATATGAGCATATGTTGTTGTCGTTATGTACAAGATGGCGGATTTCAATCACTGCGCAAAACGTGACGAAAATGCGTCCGAGAAATAAGCATACCTTTATACTTCCATGATCATAACATGGAAGAACATGTGCATTGAGCATTATTACATCTTATTTTCTTCCATCATAATTAGACGACAACATCGTCATTAGCTCTGTCTCTCTTTGCAATTGCTCTTCACGCAATTGCTGAATCTCGCGAATTATCGCTTGAAGAGTCTCCGTCGTTAACGTAGAAAGAGCATCTGTCTCTTTTCTTCGTCATAACAGTTGTTATCGTTGCTTCGTCTATCCGTTCGATTCCGGATGAGTCCCCAAAAATGTTGCATCGCTCTTAAATGAGATGTCCGTTGCGCCATTCTTCCTCACCACGCGCATACACATTCGCGCAATCACGC